TAGTAGCTATTCAATGCATACTTCTGGAATAAAAGTTATGGAATAAGTCAGTCTATACCACGCCTGTCATATGGCCTCAAGAAAAGAATTCAATGGACTCAATCTGATCAGGTATGACGATTTTTTTAAAGACCATTTAGATCAAACTTCTCATTTTATGAATGAAGAAAATGAGGAATGAAGTAGGATGTATTCAGGTTGAATTCAGGTTGACTCTTATCTCAGGCTCAGGTTGCCCTGCTGTCTCACCTGACACTACTATGAATGACTGTCTACATGGAGCTTGATTTAGAGAAGACTTTCCCAAGGATTCCATTGATTAAAAACCTTTGGAAGGTCACAAAGCTAAGTGAAATCATTTCTTTACTGAGAATTTCTCAGATCCTTCAGTAAAGTATTTGTTATCAGAGAAGTGACAAAAATGGGATGTTTTATACAGACCTTCCTAAACTAGTTTGAATACTTCTCATCAGAAAAATACTATATTTTTCTGTGATTGGTCTATACTCTATCCAATCTTGTTTAGAAAATGCCACAAAGAGAAACTATTAGCAGTGCTACCTTCCTCAAATCTCTCTTATGTTCCTATAGCATTCTTATAGCATCCTACAAGGATGCTCTATCACCCCTAGCATCTTTAGCTTTATGTTTTATCAACAATTATGATATATTGAAATTGTCTATTATGGATCTTATACCAGTTTATAAGCTTCTTGGAAGCAAGAAACGTACTTGATTCACCTCTGACTTCCCAATGATTAATACTGCCAAAAATATTAATTTTTTTAAACAAGTGCATCTTGATTCTTCCCACCACAAGACTTTTGCCCTGGCCTGGAAAATTCTTTCCCCAAATGGGTTTCTGGCTGACTTTGTCACCTCCTTCAAATCTTGACTCATCTGCCGTGTCTCAATAGACTCCACTCTGACCACCTTATCTAACACCATAAACCTCTTCATTTGAAATTTCTGATCTCCATCATTCTGTTCTACAGTTTTTCCAAAGCACTTATCACTTTCAGATATACTATATATAGCAATGTGTACAGTATACCTATTCTCCACTCCCTCCCCTTGCTAGATAATACACTCCAGAAAGGTGAAGATTTTTTTTTTTTTACTTGCTACATTCACTAAAATATCTCTAGCACCTAGAATGGTTGATACTAGGTGGTTAAAATAAATTTGTTGGATTGGGGAAATGAATTTATGAATGAATGAGTGAGGCCGAAAGGAGGAAGCTACATGTCAAGCTGCATCTGAGATGGGCCAGGAGACCATCAGACCCTGCTGTAACCAAAGGAGATTCCAGGTCCTCTCTTCTGAATCCAGAAAGAAACTGGAGTTCAGGCAAGCCATATTTAAGAGCAACACTGAACAAATAAGAGTTAACAACACATATGGGGGAGGAGTTTGCTTTGCTTAATGGCTTGGCAGCAGAGCGAGCATGGGGAGTGTTTGAAGAGATTTGAGACCTTATCTGTTGTAGACTCTCTGCTCCTACAGCCCACAGGAGCCACGAGCAATATTTCCAAAGGACAGGAAAAAAAAAAAAAATCTAGTATTGTTCAACCACGAGGAGGCAGAGTGAAGCACCAGTGTGAAAAGAAAAAAAATCACAGTCCTCTCAACTAATGTCTATGAAGAAATAAATCTAGTTTGAAAGAAATGGAGTAAGTTACCTTTTACCCCAGGCTATCTTCTATGTATTTGTCAACTTTGGCTCAGGGGCTGAGGGAGATTGAGGATGCTATCAATATGGGGTTTGACCAGGCTTGAGAATAATAAAAATAAGCTACCTTGCAAAAGGCTTTCAATGAGATTTGTATTTAATACTGAAACAAAATGGCACCAAGCTTAGAGATGGCAAAAAAAAAACCCACAAGAGGTGCTATGTGATTTAAGTTAATTCTTTTCATAAAAAAATGATAATGGTAAGAAAATAAGAACTTTATTTTCCTAACAAATGGATTTAAACAATTAGTATTATTAACCATCACGGTGGCCTTAGGTCCCATCAATAAATGGAAAAAGCTTCTAGCAGAATTAAGTTAGTCTTTGTGGAGAAAACACATTTGAAGTTTTTTATTCTATTAACTTAGAAAAGAAAACCCACTATTCTCCTGAGAAAAACCAAGGCTTATTTGAATAAAGCTGGGAGTTTGTTTATTCAAGAGTTTGGGCATATTTAGTGGAACCAAAAAGACTCCTAAGAGATTAAAAAAAAAAAAATCCATCCTAAGAAATGAGAGGCCAGCTCCACTCTTCAAAAAATCCTCACTATCAGGATGCTTGATCTTGGAAGCATGGTGCAATTATAAGACAAAAGAAATAAGGTGACTCTCCATGTTTGAGAATTTGTGCTAAGGTTTTTTTCACATGGGTCTCCTCATTTTTATCCTACAAGAACATGACAGTGTTCTTTACTGCCTAACAGATGAGAAAGCCGCTGCTTACTGACCGAGGTAGATAGCCAGGGGTCATGTCACTAGCAATCAATGGAGTCCACTGCAACTGAAGTCAATTTGATGCCAAAGCTCTTTTTCCTCTATATGGAGAGATAAGAGGGCCAAAAACTGCATTTCTCAGCAATACAGAGGATGCTAGGGAGGCTGAAATCTAAAGGGTTCCATGTATTAGTAAGGTAAGACTTACATAAATCCAGGTCTAAATCTCTGAGCGCTTTAGCCAGAGCCAAATTTGTGGAAAGGCAAAGCAAACCTTCCCTAGGCATGGCTTGTGGAAAACTTGCAATCTTTCCTACCAAATAAACAGTGTAGGTGGAAATAGATAAGCATAGCTGGATACACATACAAATACACATACACACACACACACACAGACGCAGAAACTGGTTTTAAAAATCCCCCATTGGCAATCTGTTCCTTTCTTCTTTTTACACTTATGTTATGTTTTCCTCACAGCAAAAATCATAGAGGAATAGTTCAGTAATTAAAATAAAAAACATAATCTCATCACACAAAGGCAAATATTCACTTCTAGTCTTTTTCTGTGATTTTTTTTCCAGCTTTAATGAGATATAATTCACAAACCACAAAATTTCCCCCTTTTATACAATTCAGTGTTATTTATTATATGCAGAGTTGTGCAACCATCACCATTATCATTTCTGGAAATTTTCATCACCCCTGAAAAACCCTGTAACCATTAGCAAGCACCCCCCATTCTTCAACTCCGAGCCCCTGCCAGCCCCTCTGAAACCACTAATTTATTTTCTATTTCTGTGAGTTTGTCAATTCTGGACATTTCCTGCAAGTGGAATCATATGGCATCTGGGCTTTTGTGATGCCCACTTTCACTTAGCATGTTCATCCATGTTGGAGCATGCATAAATGCTACACTCCTCTCATGGCTGAATGCTACCTCTTTGTATGGATGGATCGCATTTTCTTCTGTCTATTCACTAGCAGATGGACATTTGGGTTATCTTTGTCTTTTGTCTATTATGAATAATGTTGCTATGAATATTTGTGTCCAACTTCTCTTATGGAGATGTTTTCAATTCTCATTGGCAAATATTGGGAAGTGGAACTGCGGATCATGGTAACTCCATTTTTTACCTTTTGAGGACAGTCAGACTGTTTCCCAAAGTAGCTGGACCATTTTACATTCCTACCAGCAACGTATGATGGTTCCAATTCTCTACATCTTCGCCGACATTTGTTATTGTCCATCCTTTTGATTACAGCCATGCTAGTGGGTTCTGGCAGCATGTTTATAAGAAAGAGCAGCAGTTAATATACTCTGGGCAAGCATATTCTCTGACCAACTGTAGGACTCACAGGACCCGATCACCATGGGAGAGAGAACAAGGATAATACTGATCGTACTCCTGTCTTCTGCCTAGACTGCCTGCCTGACGGGTAAGGACACTGGTTCTCAAAATGTGGTTCCCAGACTGGCAGCACTGGCTGTATCACCAGGGAACCAGTGAGAAATGCAAAGACTCCACCCAGACACTGAGTCTGAGACTGCCGGGTGGGCTGGGGCTAGCGCTCTGTAATTCTGGTGACCGGAGACCTGAGCACAGCATTTCTGCCCTCAATGCCAGCTTTAACCCCTGTATTGGTAATGATGAATATGCACCAAATCCTTCCTCCCCTGCAAATGAGGATGACAGGGACCAAGGAAAGAGCTTTCTGGAGGATTCAATCAAGCAATTCACGTGGAAGGGTTCTGCGCCTTCCAGTAATGAGTGAGTGACAGGCACTGTTGGTGTAAAATGTTCACAATAATTAATGTTGAACACAGAATAAATATCCAGCTGGAAGGTAAAGAGGAATTTCACAAGCACCATCCAAGGCAGTAGTAACAGAGATGTGATTTCCATCATACGTGATATTTTAAATGTTCCCTATGCACTCAAGGTTTTAGAAACATGCTAGCTTGCTGAGACGTGGATGACACAGACCTGTCCCTGAGCAGCCACCTGAAACATAGTGACGTCTCCTCCGAACGGTGAAGTACACCACAGATACTCACCTGACAAAGGGAGAAATACCGCTTGCCTCTTCCACACACTGCCACTTAAAAACCTCTCTACACGCATTGCTCACAAGCTTACAGATTTAGTTGTTAGGGACACCTCTTTGTAGCTCCATTTTTGTTACTTCCTTCAGATGCTGGTCAGACTCACTGCTTCTCTCCACCTTCGCTTGGACACAGGCTCTCGTCAAGCCCATGTGCTCTTGCTTAGCAATGCCCCTCAGGTAGTCAGGAGAGGAGAACCTGGGGCAGGACCACTAACACCTCACATCAGGGCAGAACCGGTACAATCTTCCAGGTGTTTCCTGATTCCCAGCCCTCAGCGACGTACTGAAGCGTCCAGGATGTTCTGAGCACTGGGTCTCTCTGCATGCTCCTGGCTCTTACACGCCTTGCGAGTATCAAACAAGTGGAATCGGACCATGTCGCTCCCTTCCACGTGCCCCAGAAGGAAACTGGAGACGTCTGGAATCTTCCAGATGTCGCTCGTCTTGTCATAGGTGGGCATGAGGTCGTCCTTGAAGGTCGTCCTCTCCCAAGGGCCACAGCTGCTCTGGGGCGACGAAGTCCCCACGGAGCTCCCAGTAGCCACACTTCACCAAGGTCTCGCTGCGGTTCACCAGGGGCGACGTGTCCAGGTCACTGAGCACGAGGCCGAAGTTGGCGACCAGCGGGTACTGGGGCAGGGTCTTGGACAGGTCGCTGGAGTCGCACATGAGCAGCGTGCGCAGGGGGCTGGGGTGCGGGAAGTGGAGGACGGCCAGGTTGCCCAGGGCCAGCTGCAGCCTGTACGGCCACAGGCTGCAGTACTTGGAGAGATTCAGCGTCGTCTCCAGGTTGCCCAGGGAGCCTAAGTTGGTGGTAACTCGGTGAGGATGACGTTATCATTCTTGCAGTAGGCCAGCAGTGTGAGCACGTGCTTGCTCTGCAGTGCCTGCAGCATCCGACGCCCGTGCAAGAAGTCATCTCTCACCGCCAGCCTGGTGAGCCTCGACGGGGCCACCTTGCGTTCCTTCCACTCGGACAGAAACACTCTTTGCTCTGCTCCTTCCCTGACACGCTTCAGCTGCCGCACGCCTGTCCTCAGCTGCTCCGAGGACAGCCGCGGGGAGCAGTTGGTCATCTGCCCCAAGCTGAAGTGGCCGGGGGTCGGGGCGGGGGTGGGTAGTGGCCAGGGTCCTCCGCGGAGCGCCAGGGCCAGATGAAGAGCTGGTCCAGAAGAGGCAGAGGAGGACATTCACGAGGGCCATGGAGAACAGCGGCCCCACCGCGGGGGCATGTCCCTGGGCGGGGGGCCCCTTCCTGCTCTCCTGGGGCCTCGTGTCCCCGGCGCTGTGCTCTACCAGCTCCTTCCGGGAGGACATTCCTTCCCGCTCAGGTTTCTGGCCAGACTCCCGGGTCGGGCAAGGTTCTGGCTGGCCCCGCGAACTGGTTTGAAAGCACCCTTCCTCAAGATTGCAGGCCCGCATCTCTCCAGCGCTCTCCCTCCGGGCGTCTCCCAGGACTCCTGTGGACTTGACAATGACATTCACCACTCTGGCCTCACAGTCTCCTGAGCTTCTTCCACCAACGCCTGATTCTTAGAAGATGACCTGGGCTTCTGCAACACTTTCCCAAGAGCTCTACCACTGCCTTCTCTTTTCCAATCCATTTCCCACAGCAAATAGGATCTTTCTTTCCTGCGGACCCCTTCCCCGGCCCGCTGCCGCCGCCTCCTCCTCTCCTGTGATATTTTAAATAGTTTTCATCTTGCTATACTCTTTCCTGTTGTTTGCTCAACACATGACATAAGCATTTTCTTGCCATTAAAATTCTACAAGTTTAAAATATTTATAATTTTATATTAAAAAGTGAAAACATCTTGTAAATGTAATTTTATTTTTTCTTCTGGTTCTGATTTATTTTTTTTTTTTGAAGGTTTTTTTTTTTTCATTTATTTTTGTTAGATGGAGGCTGGGATGGGATGGGTAAATGTAATTTTAATATGTAGTAACATGACATCATGTGCATGTCATTTACTTAATTCCCTATATGTGAGTATTTTAAATTGTTTTCATTTTTTCTGATTGTAAATGACAAAGATTAATTCTTTTGACTTAAAGTTTAGAGTTCTGCAATTACTCAAATGCCTTAGGAAGGCTGGAATATAAAATCTGACGATCTATCTGTATATTGAGAGAAGAAATTTGCCATGTGTTTTCTTGAAAGTACATTTAATAAATAGGGTAGGTCTGAACCAGGGGGGTGTGGAGTGCCTGAGAGCTCCAGAGTGGGCCCTCACTGAGGCAGTAGGTGTCACGGAAGACAGAGGATGGGCCAGCAACCCGCCTCCCAGTGCCGACCACCAGACTGCACCCTCACACAAGCCCCTGAGCAGGATACAAGTGATACACGCCTCAGACAGCCAGAAATCTCAAACATGGCCAGCGAGTATAAGGATAATTCTAAGTTTTAGAAGAGGTGACTATTAGATTCCTGTATATTAAAAAAAAAAAAAAATCCAGTGGTTGGGAGAAACTGTCACTCAGTCTGCATTAGAAGTCATATCATCCACCAGAGAAGGTGTTCTCCAAATGGGTGGACAGCTCCTTCTGGAAGGTTCTGAGCTCTAATTTGAAACATTCTTGATGGACATATTCGCCTCTTAAAGACATAGAGGAGACGCAGTATTTTAAAAACCAAAGGGAATTCCCAGGTGGTCCAATGGTGAAGACTCCATGCTCTTACTGACAAGGACCCAGGTTCAATCTCTGGTCAGGGAATTAAAATTCTATAAGCTGCACAGCAGGGCCAAGGGCAAAAAAACCCCACAAAAAAACGAAAAAACCCAAACAGATTGGGGTTAATTTGTGACTGAGAGGGTTTGTTATTTTCAGGAGCAAATTTCTGAGGACAGCCCACAGCATTTTCTGAAGATGGGATTAGGAATAGATTATACATTCATTCACTCACACACACACACACACACACAGAAGAGATGGTACCATACAATTTTATGTCTGGTTTTAGAAGTGGGGAAGCCGGTGGAGGCAGAGGCAGAGGCAAGGGGAAGGATGGCCTTTCACAGAACTGCTGTAACCAAGTGTCTGTGACCCTCTCAGGTTATGTGCCTTTTCTTTTAAACTCCAATGTAATTAAATCAAAGTCAGCAATAATAAAATATCATAAATAATTTTAGTGTATAATATATGCTGACAAATGTTATTAAGGAGATGGCTGTAATAGACAGGGAGATATTTAGTATGACTTCATCTGAAAGTTACATGGCTAAGAAAACTCAGTAATGAGTTTTGCTTTAATTATTCCAATGAAATGACTTTTCTAAATGATTTTAAAATCATGGCGAGTAGTACTTAAAGAATTTCCAAAAGGCTTTTAGGCAGGACTTGTTAACTTGATCAAGTTTATACAAAATATTCTGGGTTTAAAATAAATGTATGTACATAGAATTCTTACTATGCATTGTTCACTAGTAACCTTTTAAAATAGGCTTACCAAACTTCCAATGACTTTTTATTCTGTTTAGTTCTAACTAGGCGATAACCATCTATCTTGGAATTTCCATGAGAGTTCTCATTACATATATTCGATGGCATTGTCCTTCCAAACCATCGGATTGGCCTAGACATGTCAATACAATGGTGTCAACACTCCTCTTATTAGATGTTTCTCTACTCTTGAAAATGACACAAAAATCATTTGACAGACCATATTTGGTTTTTTTATTCGAAAATATTATCACTCCATGATTTTTATGAAAAAAGCTGAATTGATCGTATCTGCCTTTAAAAATATGTTCCACATTCTATCACTCAAAGCTTAGGTTTCCACCTCTATTGTGTACTTTAATATTCAAAAAGATAAAAATATATTATTCATTGACAATGTGCAGTAGGCAGGTAATGCGTTAGAAATGTTTAGAATTATCATTACCTACAAAAGAGCCAAAACTGAAACACTTATTATGCACGGTTCCTATCCTAAGTGATTTAGCTGCTATGCCTACATCACTGTGCTTTTGAAGACAAAGTATAGTATTGTACGTGAGATACATACAATATCTGTTCATTCACTCTTGCGTGTAATCATTTTACAAATATTTATTGAGTATCTTCTTTCTGCCAGGTCTTGCATGATGTACTAAATATATAATGAGAACAAAACAGCCACAATCTCTATGAACAGGTGATAGGGACAGAATGAGGGGATGAAATACGTGATTAAATAGTTAATCCCACTCGAGGATTGTAAGTAGAAAGCTATGGGAGACCTGTAAATTAATGAATACTTGAGAAAGTAGGTCTGCTTAACCACAAAACCATGCAGTCTTGCTTAGCAACAAAACCAGGTAACAGGAACACAGGACATGCCCCAAAACAATAAAACAAAGGTGGCATGAGACCCACATCCTGCCCAGTGAACTCAGTAAGTTAATGATCCCTAGGACATGCTCCCTGCACACATTAAAAATAATCATTTGTGGACCTAGTTTGACCATGCAGAGACAAGAAAACTCCCCCTGCACAACCTGGAAAAATGACCTAATGATGAAAACATGGCATCTACTCAAGAAAGACAAAGGAGATCTTCTCCCCCTCCCCACTTTTCCTTTGATTATAAAATCATAGCTCACTAGGTTCTGGGGACATGGCATTCCTCACCTGCCCACTTATAAACCTCAGAAGCATCCTATTCTGATAAATCATTTCTTATCTACTACCTTGCTCTTGCTGAATTCTTCTCTGCCCTGAGGCATAAAGGACTATGATACCAGAGGTCTTCAGAGTCACCCTGAAATGACAAAAGTTGGTTTCACAGAGAATTTACAGGTGGTCAGAGATGACACTGATGCTGAAACATGAAGAATACAAGAGAATGAGCCAAGCAGAGGGAAAGTACATGGACGAGGGAGAAGAGGGAACAGTATATAGAAAGATCCTGAGCCAAGGAAGTGCTTGAAATAGTCAAGGATTTTCAGCACATGTGATGAAGGAACATGAGTTTGTGGATAGTGGCCTGAGGATGTAATGGACCAGATTAAATAAGGTCAAAGGTGTTATGCAACAGCTTGGTTTTAGCTTAAGGTGATAGGAAGTAGTATTTCCATCAGAGTTGCAAAGTAAGAGGATGTATATTTTAGAAACATCACTCTGGCTACTCTGTGGAGGTTGACTGGTCCATGTGACTGATTTGGTGGAGGAGCCATGAACCAAAGTGATGCCACACTCTTATCCCAAGTACAGAGCTGGGTAAGAGTTTTCTGTGTGCCCCCCTCATACTCCATCTACCATGGAAGTGTGTGCTTCATGTGGGTCATCTACTGGGAGTTGAAAACTCTCTCATTCTGGGTCTTTAGTGACTATAAGAAGAGAGAGTGCCCATCCACCCCACCTGTCACCCACTAATCCCTACCAGACTATAGCAGAAACAAGATATAAATTTGTTAAGGACAGATTTCAGACAAAAACATGGGAATAAGAGCCTTCAATTTTGAGGCATAAGAATCAATATAGTGACAGATATGCAAGTACAAATCACAGTAGCAAGGACACAGTAGATGCTAAGAAAAGGGTAGCTAGAAGCTATTATTATGCCTGTTGATTCTGGTCTATCTCTGATGTTAACTAACTCTCTTGACTTTGGGTGATTCCTTCAGCTTTCTGAACCTCAATTCCCTGCCATTTTCAATGAAGGATTTGTACTCTATCTCCAAAATTGACACTTCTGGATTCTAAGCTGACAGGTTAAAAACACAGGGGAGTTCATGGTAATTAAAAAAATTGGACAACATTTCCTCTTCTTTAATCCAGTAGGATAAGCAGATTCTTTGGATACCAGGTCAAGAACACCAGGCAATACCCTCAAGGAGCCAGGCCACTGATGCTCTTTTTTGCACAAAGAAGGAAGTGAAACTGTTTGGAATTCCTCTAAGTCCATCAAACAAATCTTTAATTTCTCTCTGTAAATTTACAAGCCCAGCAGCCAACATAGGAAAAGAAAGGCACTGATTCTTCTAGCTAAGACAGGTCACAGGTATTGATAAACTACTGCCAAGGAATTTCCCAGTTTGCACTGCCGTCCTTTTCTGAGAACTTCCAGGTGAATCTGAACATCTCCAGAGCCACTGACTTGAACTCCCAAATGAGAGGCAGGTTTGGGCTTACTCCACGTCCTGGGTGTTTCTGTGTGCAGGCAGGGCAGGTACTCTATTTATGTGACAACATTTCTCAGAAAATCTGGACTCTGGCTCCAAAGCTGCTACTAACTAGCTCTGTGATTCTGCACAAAGAACCCTACCTCCTCCACAGCTCAGGATTCTCATGTGTAAAATAGTGATAGTAATACTCACTGTATGTACCTCCTGGGGTTTTCATAATGATCAGGTGAGATGGAATAGAAGTGAATGTCCTTTATAAAGCATACTCTGTCTCACAGATGCATTTGAGAATCACTGATACATTGTTGTTAT